TTGACTTGCCAAGGGTCAGAGCCCAACGGTTCTTCGAAAATAGATGGTTGGGTCACTATTCCTACTGGAATCACCCTCGCCAATGTTTCACCGCAATTCGAAGCACTACATGCTAACCGGTCTGCATCTGCATTCTGTTCCCTCGGCAGCTGTATGAATTCAATCTTTGCAAAGTCCTTGGCTTTATGCAGAACGGCAGAACGATATGCCCCCATCGTGTCATCCTTGGCCGCGTACTCACCATTTATCTGCCGAACAATCAGCTGCGAGTCACTATACACTGTCAAACTTTTGATCTGTAGCTCTCTGGCCAACTTTAATCCATTTAGCAACGCCTCGTATTCCGCTTCATTATTAGTGGCTCGGAACTCAAGTCTGAGTGCTTGGCTCAAGGAAGTACCCTCTGGGGTTTGCAGTTTGATCCCAATTCCAGCCCCCATCTGGTTAGAGGAGCCATCCACAAAAAGTTTCCAAGAGCCGCATCTAAGGTCTTCTTCCGTATCTTCGGCGTCACATTCTAGCAGGAAATCGGCCACCGCTTGCCCTTTAACAGCTGTTCTCGGCTCATACGTTATGTCAAATGAACTCAACTCTATGGCCCATTTTGTCATTCTGCCCGAGAGCTCTGGCTTGTGCATAAGCGTTCTGATTGGGAAAGTCGTTAGAACAGCTATGGGGTGGGATTCGAAATAATGCCTCAACTTTCTTTTTGCATTTACAAGTGCAAGTACCACCCGTTCGGCCTTTGAGTATCTTTTTTCTGCCTCCGTCAGTGTTTTGTTTACATAAAATACCGGGTATTGCACCCCTTCCTTGCAACGAATCAGAACAGCACTCGTCGCGACACCAGATACTCCAAGATATAGAAATAACTTTTCTTCCGGATCTGGGGCTGACAGGACTGGTGGATTCTGCATATATTCCTTCAAATGAGTCAATGCTTGCCGTTGCTCATCCCCCCAGACCTGCCTTCCATGGCTCCGAATCGTGTCAAAGAATGGTTTGCAGTGATCTGACAATTTTGAAATAAATCGACTTAATGCAGCTATTCGTCCTGTGAGGGCTTGCACCTCTCTGATCGTCTTTGGCTCGGCATTCTTAATCAAAGCCTCTGCTTGAGCGGGGCTAACTTCGATGCCTCTGCGGTTGACCACGTGTCCCAGAAACTGTCCGGAACTCACACCGAACGAGCACTTGGTTGGATTGAGCCTCATCCCATATCGCTTTAGTACATCAAATACATCTTGCAGATGCTTCAGATGATCATCCTTCTTTCTACTCTTTACCACCATATCATCAATATAGGCTTCCACAATCTTACCCATTTGATTCTTAAAAACTTTGCTAACAAGTCTTTGATAAGTTGCTCCCGCATTCTTTAGTCCGAAAGGCATAACTTTGTAGCAGTATGTTCCTCGCTCGGTGACAAAAGAAGTTTTTTCTTCATCTGCGGGGTCCATAGGAATCTGATTATAACCTGAATAAGCGTCCAGAAAGGTTAAACGCTCATACCCAGTGGTGGCATCCACCATTTGATCAATCTTAGGCAGCGGGAAGCTGTCCTTCGGACAGGCTTTGTTCAAATTGGTGAAATCAATGCATACTCGCCATTTCCCATTCTTCTTCTGCACAACAACGACGTTGGACAACCAATCAGGGTAGTGCACCTCTCTGATAAATCCCGCATCAAGCAGCCTATCGACTTCTTCCGCTATGATCTGATTACGTTCTGGAGCAAATCTTCGCTGCTTCTGTTTCACTGGTTTGAAATTGGGATTGACATTCAGGGAATGACAGGATACGGAAGGACTAATTCCAGGCATGTCTAGGTGACTCCATGCAAATACGTCGGCATTGTGGGACAAGAAATCCACTAGCTCTTGCTGCTCTTCTCTGGTCAGTCTTATACCTACTCTGGTAGTTCATTCTGGCCTGGACTGATCGATCTGCACATCCAGAAGGGGCTCCTCGGTCAAGTCAACTGACTCCTCCACCCCATTCTGCTCGAGCGGAGGTTCCTGTAATTGCTATCTGGGGCTTGCCGAACGGACGGGCGCCTTTCCTTTCCCAGCATGCTTTAGTGTGACGGAATAACACTCTTTGGCTGCAACCTGATCCCCCCGAATGTCTATCACTTTATCTCCATCGGGTCCGAGGCACCTCATGACCTGATGCAGAGTTGAGGGTACACCTTGGACTCTGTGAATCCATCCTCTTCCCATCAGGAGATTATACGAGGGGTGAATTTCCACAACCACAAAAGTTTCCATAAGAGCTCGTTCTGCAGCTTGAACTTCCACTTCCACCATCCCGACGGGCTCCACCCTCTTCCCATCGAACCCTAACAAGGGATTTCCAGTGGGCTTGAGCCTCTCTGGTTTAATCTCGAGCCTGTCAAATGTGTCCCTCGGCATGACATTCGCACTGCTCCCAGGATCGATCAGAACTCTGCGCACCAAGCAATCTGCCACTGTCAAACTGACTACCAACGGGTCGTCATGAGGCAGTTGAACACGCTGCAGGTCTGTCCAGTCGAACTTTATCTGCATCGACGGGCTCTGCTGGTGTAGAGTATTCACACTGCCGATCCTTTTCTTCATCTGCGCCTGCCGCAGGCGCACCCGGAGCAGCTCGTCTGACTCTTCACTAGGCTCGGGTCGACCATGGATAGCATTGATTATACGAACTGGTTGTGAATTGTGGGAGCTTTGTTTATGACTCCTTTTTATTTGTTCCACCGGTCGATTCTGCTCCATCGCCGAACCTTAAACATAACTCGCGAACTCCCCTCTAGCTATCAACATCTCCACTTGCCTCCTCAGGTTCCTGCACTCGTTAGTCTGATGACCGAAATAAGAATGAAAAGCACAATGTTTAGTTTGATCCCTCTGTTCGAGGGGTTGCCTAATTGGCAGTGGTGGATGAAACTTATCTTTGTTCTCCTGATACAGCCTCGCCAGAGTGACCTTCAGCGGAGTAATCAGCTCTTCCTCCCTGGACCTTTTTTCTGCCTTCCAAGAGGTCTGACGTTGCGGCTGAGCCTGCTTCTGCCTGATCTTTGCCTTGGACTTTTCCTCGGTCGACACAAGCGACGTTGTCCGAGCATTAGCTACCTCCTCTTCTTCTAGGCGCACAAAGCCATCGGCTCTTTCATTGAGTTCATCCATAGTAGTCGGCGTGTTCACTACCAGACTGGTGTGAAACGGAGTTCCGCGTGTCATGGCTAACTTGAAGGCTTGAACTGCTGTAGAAGGGTGACATTCGATCACCATACTCTTAGTGAGATTAAACCTGGTAAGAAAGGCCTGGAGACGTTCATCCTTGTGCTGCCTCATCGTGAATAGGCTCGAGATGTCCTTCGGCGGGCGCTTGTTCCCATAATACTGGCTTATGAACCGATCGCACAGGTTTCTGAAACTACCAATGGAGCTCCTAGGCAAGTTTTTGAACCAGCTGAGTGCCGGTCCGGCTAGGCTTGTAGGGAAACATTTGCACATTAAAGAATCGTTTTCCGTATTCAGGGCCATCTTCAACTGGATATGATACACATGATCGATCGGATCGGTCGTTCCGTCGAACAGAATAAAGACTGGCATAGCAAACTTCCTTGGATGCGGGGCATTCAAGATCTCGTCGGTGAATGGTGAATCCACCGTCCGAGCTGCGGATCGGAGAGCTTCATTCTCTCTCTGGAGTCCAGCGGTAGCTCTGTGAGTTACGGTTCTGCCCTCCGAACCGTGATGAGTGATAGTAACCATGGAGGGCCGGTAAGACGGATCGAACGACCGTTCCTCTATGAACTCTCTTTGCCAAGGCGACGCTACTCGACGGCGATCAACCTCCATCACTTCCTCTCGGTTGAACCTTTCCCGATGCGGATCAACGTGAGTCGATCCTTCGTGATCTTCAACTCGACGAACATTTGGCGGCAAATTGTCCATCATCCTTTCATCACGGTGGTGAGCTGACTGATTGTTCTCGTCCTGTTCGCTTTGATGCGCGATATTAGATTGAACACCTCCTTCTCCGACCGGAAGTGGATGCGAAACCGCAGGTATTTGCCGATGTTGCATTCCAGCTTTCAATTCTGCATTCTCTTTTTTGAGAGCTTCAATCAAGTTCATCAATTCCTCAAGCTTTGTTTGCTGGACAGCCTCCATCGGATTGGAGCTTTCACCTATCATTATTCCCGAACGGAGTAAAGGCATTAATCTCAAGTTCGCGAGTAGATCCGAGCTTCGTGAGTAGGAATTTTTAGATCTGGCTTCTAATTCTCCAAATTATGCTCACTGTTTACGAGATCTGAATTGTCTGAACTCTAAATCCGTCAGATCCTGCCACAATCGAACAACTCGTTGTTGCGTAGATCTCAAGTCACTCCTGCCAAAGCTTCAAGAATTGTAATTCCTCCAGAGTAGGTCACAATCGCTCAGATCTGGATCCAAATCCCAAAGATCGAGTCTCGATCAACCGAATTGGTTTGAATCCACTCGATATTCCTCATTGATCAACCAAACTTTCATGCGTTTCCCACAGACGGCGCCAATTGAAGATGCAAGAAATTCCTTCCCCTCTTTCTCTCTCTAGAATTCTTACACCTCAACCCCAAAAAGATCCCCCACCTTTCCATTCCTTATCCTATTTATAGATATTTACAAGATATTTACAAGATATTTACTGATTGCTAGATCTGGGCCTATTCCTCCATAAGTCCTGGTCACCTTTGATGGGCTTACTCGCGTTCGGCCCATATGGCAGTGTCTTTATATGGGCCGACCCAGCTGTACGGACTGAATGTAGTGTTTGCAAGTCGGATCCGGCCCATGTCATCCGGGGCCTCCTCAGTACTAGCATAGAACCATTGTTATATAATGGATTGTCTGAGAAATGGATGATAAGAAATGACGAAATAAAGAAAATAAAAAATCTGTTAACAAAAACCTATTACAAAATCAAGTTATAAGATAAAGTTTAATATAGTATAAGTCCCTGCATAATTTTCATCCATATATAGGAGGATAAAGTTCTTTTTGTCTGGACCAAAATTTATTTACATGGTATGCTTCTTCATCATCTGACAAGTCCCCTCGTATTGAACCCTCACACAAGAATGTAGGAATATGAGAGGCAAGCTTCAATATTTCATCATCATCCTCCTCAAAACCTACGCAATACCGAACATCAAGATAAAGAAGTTCTTTGCAGCCTTGCAAAATAATATCTAGATGGGCATCGTAAAGGTGTGCATAACTCAGATCCAAATACTTAAGGTTTGGCAGTAATGCGGCTACATCCCATGCATCCCTGTCCCAAAAGCTAACCCAACAAAGTTCTTGCAATGAAGGCTGACTTGTGTAAGAATTTCTTGCATATAAGAGCTGTATTCTAGGGTTAACCTTTCCAAATTTTTCCATTTGCTTATAAGGCCGGGAATGATGGACATTTCACTCGCTGATAGATCAGTAGACAATGTCAAATCTTTCAAGACAGGACACCTGAAAAAAAAAAAAAAAAATTCAATGTCAAATAAATTCCAAAAGAATTGAACTTAAAATCTTTTATGGAGATATTCATTTTCCGGGAGAGACAGATAAGATATCCCGACACGGTGGCATCTTGATACCACCAGAAATTCCATGGAATCCAAAAAATTGAAAAATTGGATCTATGTTCAATGGATCACACCTACCAAGAATTTTTTTTGTTTTGTTTTAGTTTGACCTAGAGTCGCATATGAAATAACGGATGGTATAAATTTAGCAACACTTTTCCCCCCGGATCTCACCCATCAATGCATGGTGTTATTCAACTCATCGTTACGCTAGATGGTGAAGATGTTATTGACTATGAACCAATATTGGGTTATTTACACAGAGGGATGGAAAAGATTGCAGAAAACAGAACAATTATACAATATTTGCCTTATGTAAACGTTGAGATTATTTAGCTACTATGTTCACAGAAGCAATAACCATAAATGCACCAGAGCAGTTATGAGTTTTTCTATGTAAGAAAGACATTCTTTTTTAAGGCTATAATATTAGGTCACAAGCTAACATATGACAGATTCCGAAAAGATAAGAAGTGTTCAATTTCATTGAAAAAATGTCAAAGGTTAGATATGTCTCAAAGTTAATTTCCTCTCAGCAGATTCACGTGTACTAATGTTTCATTCAACGTATTTTTCACTTGGCACTTCATCTAATAAGACTAAACAATTGTCAAAATGGTTAAGAAACACTGGAGAAACAGGATTCTCCTAATGTAGTTTAGATAACTTACTCATTTGCAATATAAACTAAGAGATCTTTATCAGATTTGCAGGAAAGATTGCCGGGCATCTCTAGTGAAACAACAGATCTAGCACTACGCTTGATGGCAAACTTAATGATTCCACGAACACCAAGCTCTTCAACACGATCCGCATACTTTAATCTTGACCCGAAATCACATGATAACATAGGAAGCTTAATGTGCCGCCAACATTGTGGACTGAGAGTTGCTTTGTACCATGACTTGCACACGAAGGGAATGTCCAATACCAGAGATTCAACTCCCAATCTCTCATACACATTCAACAAGCAATCCAAGTTTAAATCCTCCCATTTTCGCTCTTCCATCTATCTACAAGGGAAACAAAGATTAACTTTGAATTGTATGCATTATAGTAACAGAAAAAGCACACACAATCTCTCTTCCATTCTATAAGATGGAAGATATTCTGCATCGACTACATGATGGAAAATGATACTTTTTTACGGCACACATAATTAAAAGTATTAATGGATCAGCATAGCCTCATCCTATTGCATGGATCATATATATGTGAGCCAAAAGGAGACGTATTCGATTAAAGTTTCCTAATTTTTCCTAATTTTTTTAGGGTGAAGTGGTTTTAACACCCTTGTAATATACTCGGCATCCTCTATTTTTTAAAATGAATGGTGTCAAGCTTTTTTTTTTTTTTTTTTTTTTTTTTTTTTTTTCAAATGTAAAACATATGCTTTGGGTAAGAATAGTAGAAGGTTGGTAAGTCACTTACCGTAAGTGCACTTCACCCTATATTTTTTATTATTTTGCCACTTGATTTATACAATTAAATTTCAATGGTAAACTTTAAACAGATAACATTGAAGTCCATTGATGCATGTAGCCAAAAATCTAACCCGATTAAAATTCCCTAAATGACCTTCTTTTCATAATAATACTAGAATTTAGTCATCAAAGCAGTTACCTTAAGATGAAGAAAGAAAACTAGTAAATCAATACCAACATATTATATGGAAGCTTGAATTGTGAAAAAAGAAAAAAGAAAAAAGAAGCGATCCTTCAGACAAATCAATACCAAAATATTATATGAATAACACTTGAACTGTTAAAAATAAATAAACAAAGCCAACCAACTACCCATCTATAATAATAATTTAAGCATGAAGATGGAAGACTAGTAAAATTACAGAATCCTATCTGTCTAAAACCTATTGAATACCATTGTGTGTGCATGTATATAAAGATGGCAAATTACCCAAATTACCGGTTCGTGTGGATATCAATCCTGTCCCAATTTGGGACAGTTACCATTCCGTTTATATTGCATAATTACTTTAATACTACAAAATAATCCTAATGATAGTAGCATACTTTTCATAAACTAAAACGCAATTAATATTTTCATCCCTTTACCAATTCATAAACTAATATAATTTCTTTTGTTTTATTTAAGAAATCATTTTTTTTTTCCGGAATGTGATGGAAAAGGGGGCCTGCCCCAAACCTGTCTCGGACAATTTTGATGTGATGATTAGGGTCTGACTATAGAACTCTAAATGATTTTCCATATATATATATAGTATCAACAATTGAAATTAAGATTGAGATACACACGCAATCAGTGCAAAAAAACTAGAAAACAACGCTAAAGTAGAAACAAATATGGAACATATTCAAAACAAAAAGTTCAAGAACAACACGGATATAAACCAGTTAATTATACAAAGTTAATACCAGCATATATAGATAACACATGGATAAATAAAAAATCAAGAATGAAAACCATAAAAAGCAAATACAAAATCAAGAATGAAAACGACAAAAAGCAATACAAAATTACTTACTCTGCAAATTGGGTTTCAGAACCTGTATATGGACGCAGAAGAGGAACCTTGTCTAATCTAATTGTGATCACTTAAGAAAATAAAGCAATTGAATGCTTAATTAATATTGTATCTCTCTCTCTCTCTCTCTCTCTCTCTCACAAACGCACACACACACACAACAGTAAGGCCCACCACTGTTGGAAGTCGATGGCCCACGCAGCGAGAGATATGTTCCTAGTAGGAAAAGACAAAAGTCACCCTTGTTTACACTCGTATTAGGCCTAAATTTTTCCATGTGACCGAATTATATGAAGTGCTTTAAATGGCCAAAATAATTGTTAAGTGGTGTCTCCTTTTTTACTTTTTAAAAGTGGATGGTGATTGTATTAGTTTTCGTGGGAACAAAGTGAATATATGAATAGTATATGTAAGTACTTGTCAATAAAAAATTAAAAAAAAAAATTATAATTTGTGCATCACTGTGCATATTCAGAATTTACATTATAATAATCAAAGGTGAATCTACGTTCAATATCCTCCATTTTTCTTGATTAGTTGATAAAAATATATTTGTGCAAAAATAAGTCTCATAGTTGAGAGTTGAACTCCATATTGTTTTAAAAGGAATAGAAATGCCGTGCACTTTGCCTTGTAAGTTTGTAACTAATGAAAGTGATTATTTTCAATTATTAGTTCCAAGAATTTAGCCAACTTATTAGTTCAACTCATTCTTTTGGATCCTACTACTAGCTAATTTAATGTTAATGTCCTCTTGATTAGTTAATGTCACGACCTATTCCGCGTAGATATTATTTTTTTTTTTTACAGTCTGCACACTCTTTCTTTCGGTGCTAATTAATGCACGACTTGCCCTACTATGTGTATATATTGTCTTCTTTGCATACCATATTTCAGTGTTCACGGTTGTCCTGCCAAAAAATTCTCATCCTGTAGAAGGTCACTCTTGGGACCCAACCTCTTCTCTTCCATTTTCAACTAGAGATTGGCTCCGGATGCTCAAAGAATGGGTCCCCATTTTCGTAGTAATAAACCAAATTTGTAGTAGCATTGCCTTTAAAGTACATAAAATACATAACTGCATAAATGACAAGATTTGTTATAAAGATACAAGATTATATCAATCTAATAAATAGTTTTATATATCTAAAACTCAAAAACTTGCAATTTTATAAGTGACATCACAATTTTGCATTACATTGATATGTTTAAGAATACTGAATCGGCGGTTTTAAATTTCCTCTAATTCCAAATTCAAAGCACCCGACTCCAACAATCGTGTATATATTCAAATTTCTCGAGTACATTGGTTAACCAACCAATAAGCAATCCAGGAAGCAGTGAACACAACAGTCTTTTGTTGACTTCAATTAGGGTTTCAGACCCTGTCACCAAGTTTATGTGAGTTATGACGACGACTTTCCAATGTATATACAACGATTAATTGTTACACAAAGACATAGAAAGATGATATGAAAAAACATAAGGCAGATTATAAAATCAGGCAATTAAGAGCTGAAACAAGAGGACATGTTAACAAAAGCGGAAAGCCCATGTATTAAATATAGTTCGATAATACAAAGTACCTGGATAGTTTTCATTCGCATGGTAAATAAATATAGATATGACATATACAATTCTTACTTCATAATACCAACTAATTATTCACAAAGACATCATAATCGTCACCACCTACTACCCGTCTGCAGTCGAAACCTTGCACTTGAATTTTGCAATATGAGAGGCAAGCTTCAATATTTCACCATCACACTCGAAACCTATGCAATTCTTAACATCAAAAAACACAAGTTCTTTGCAGCATTGCAAAATCATCACTAGAAGCTCCCGTTCAAGGAATGCACTGCCCAGATCCAAATACTTAATGTTTGGCAGATATGTGACGATGGCTGATGCACTGCCCAGATCCAAATACTTAATGTTTGGCAGATGTGTGACGATGGCTGATGCTTCCTCTTCCCAAATATTGGGATTTGTAATAGCTAACCAAACAAAGTTCTTGCAATGAAGGCCGACTTCTGCAAGGATTTATTGCATATTAGCGTTGTAGTCTAGTGTTAACCTTTCCAGATTTTTCCATCTGCTTATAAGGTTTGGAATGATGGACATATGATCTTCAGGTAGACCCTGAGACAACGTCAAATATTTCAAGGCAGGACACCTGGGAACAAAAATTCAGTGTCAAATAAATTCCAATATTTTCCATGTAAGAATGGCATTCTTTTTTTAAGGCTATATTAGGTCATATGTTAACATATGATGGATTTCGAAAAGATAAGTGTTCATCAGGATTGAAGAGCACCCTTCATTTATGTAACCAAATTAATCACTGGCATGGTCATCTTTCCCTTGACAATTAAGTAGAATCATATGTAACGTCTCATTCAGCGTATTTTTCACTGTAGCACTTCATCTAATAAAACTAAACAATTGCCAAAAATGGTTAAGAGTCACTGAACTATCTTAATGTAGTTTAGAAAACTTACTCGTTTGCAACATAAACTAAAGCCTCTTTAGTAGAATTGGAAGGCATAGATAGCGAAACAGCAGATCTAGCACTATGTTTGACAACAAACTTAATGATTCGAGGGATTCAAGCTCTTTTTTTCGATTTGCAAACATTAATTCTGACCAGACATTGAATGAAAACATATCAAACTTAATGTCAAGCTCTTTTTTTGGATCTGCAACCCTTAATTCTGACCTGACATTGAATGAAAACGCATCAAACTTGAGGTGTCGCCAACATTGTGGATAGCGAGTTGCTTTGTACCATGACTTGCATACGCGGGGAACATCCAACATCAGAGATTTAACTCCCAATCTCTCAAACACATACAACAAGATATCCAAGTTCAACTCTTCCCATTTTCGCTCTTCCATCTATATAAATGGGAAACAAAGATTAACTTTAAACTCTATGCATTATAATAACAACAAAAACACTGAGAATCTGTCTTCCATTCTTAAAAGATGAACATATTTTGGATTGACTATAAGATAGAAAATGATATTCTTATCCTAAAAAAATTCATGGTACACATCATTAAATTTCTAATAGGTCCACATAGCCTCATCTTATCATATGGATCATATAAACTGAAAGGAAATTTATTGGATCCGTTTTTTCATAGAACATTTGATTTATGCAATTAAATTTCAATGGTATACTTCAAATTGGGTAAAATTTAAATTCATTGATGCAGGTAGCCAAAAATCTATCCCAATTAAATAAACAAAGGGTGATAGCCAAAAGTTTAAGCCCAACCACTTTGTATAATGTAAGTTTAAGTGTATGAATAATAAATCAAACAGATTTATATATTAACTGATCATTACAATGAGTAACAAACAAAAAATCCATCAAAGAATGTGATATTTTGTTCATGACCATCTGTGAAATAGAGATAAAGTGGGAACAAACTCAAAAAATAAAAAACTTTAAACATACTCAAAAGAAGCAGATTTATATATTAACTGATCATTACAATGAGTAACAAACAAAAAATCCATCCAAGAATGTGATATTTTGTTCACGATCATTCTGTGAAATAGAGATAAAGTGGGAACAAACTCAAAAAATAAAAAACTTTAAACATACTAATAAGAGGAAATTCGAAAATTCGCTACAATTTAAAATTCCCTAAATGAACATCTTTTTATAACGATACTAGAATTTAATCATCAGACAAATTACCTTAAGATGAACAAAGAGAACTGACAATTCCGTACCAAAATATTACATGAATTAAAACTTGAAAGAAAAGATAAAAAAACTATCCAACCTCCCATCCATAATAGTCATAAAAATTTAATAATAAAGATTTAGTATCGAGATAAACTCCAGTAAAATTACAGAATTCTGTTCGTCTAACCCATTTCATACATAAATATGTGTGTATGTATATATGTAGAATCGACAATTGAAATTATGATTAAGATACATAAGCAAACAGGCATAAAATCTAGAACACAACACTACACTAAAAACAAACATAAAACATATTCAAAACAACAAATTGGGTCATTTGCGAAATAATTAAACTGAAAACTTCCACATATTCTATATATTAACAGGGATCTAAACCAGTTATATAACACTTTGTTGTGTAAATAAAGAATCAAGACCATTAAAAGCAATACAAATTTACTTAAAATTCTAGCAACTGGGTTTCAAAACCTGTATATGGACGCAAATGAGAGCACTTGTGTAATCGGATTTTGATCACTCTAGCAAATTAAGCAATTGAATAATTAATATTGCAATCCTCTCTCTCTCTCACACACATGTCTATGTGTACGCATAGAGTTGGAAGGAAAGGCTTGGCGAAAATTCGAATTTTCCAGTCTGATTGCTTTTTATTCACTTGGAACACATTGATGTGAATTATTAAAGATATATCTAGGAACAAAGAGTTGGCTTTGGCTGAAGGATTGGTTTGGTGATTTACTCAAATGAAGTGTAATTGATGATCAACCTTAAAGGAAAAAATAAAATTTAAAAGATATGTATCTCATCCTCAGTTTTTTGTTCCATTGTCGATTTTTATATGGTGGATCCTTGCCGCCCCTCCATTTCCAGCCTCAAGGGTGCACCAAAAAATACAGTAGTCAAAAATTCAAAATAAGGTTGGCCTCAGTGCATGACATCTAAAAAGAATGGGGTTTTCTAATGCAAAAAATGTTACCAAAAGAACTTGTTTGAAAAATCATTTTCACTCAAGCACGTCATAACCTCATCAACCTCAAAAATTTATTCAACCAACGAGGACAGGGGATATGCCTTTTCTCAACCCTCCAGTGCTACCGGGGTTGACATTTACGCTGCACCGTATCTGTATTTGGCCAGTTATATTTAATAAATACTTTCTATAAAAAGAAAAAGAAAAAACTTTAAAAGTAACAGCAACACACAAACATGTGCAGGCAGTGTCACAGGGTGTCGCAGCAATGGCCTAATGTCCTTGCATCACTAGTGTTTTAATCTATAAAGTTAGAAACTTTGAGTGAAAATGAGATTTTTGAGCCGTTTTATTGGTACTGGTTTTCTTTGGGTCCTGTCAAAAGAGAGAATTTATTCTATAGGGTCCATTTGGTTAGCGGGAAATTGATGGCGGAAAGTGAAAAGAAAAGAAAGTAAAGTGAAGGAAAAGAAAATTATGTTTCTATTATACATTTGGTTAGCATGATTTTTTTATAAGAAATTTGTAGGAAAATGTTGTTTCATTAGTTTGGATGGCAAGAGAGTGAAGAGAAAATAATTTATATGTCAAAACTACCCTTATAAATCCAATACTATGTAATATACATTATGAAACATGCATAATTAAATAATATAAATAATTGTTTTATGAATAAATATATATGTGCATGCATATAGTCCTAATTAAAAGAGTTAGAAAGTTGTAACCTACTTAGGGGTCCTAATTTATGAAAAAAAAAAAAAAAAAACTCACTCCTTCTGTGAGTCTGGAGAACTTCTGTGAGTCTGGTAAAGAAGGAAAGAAATAACTACATATATTGATACAACTATCATGGGAAACTTAAATTTTCGAGAAAATATTTTGAGGAAAATAACTTTCCTGAAAATTTTCTATCCAAACTGCAAAAAATATTTATGTTCTTTTCCTTTCTAGCTAATTCATGCTGACCAAACTAACCCATAGAGATAACCTCAAACTTCCCATTGGACTGATCCTTTCCTAAAATCTCTACCACGTTCATCTACAATGCCAGGAGAGGGTGATCCTCCCGGTGCTGACCGTACACAAACGACACAGGTATAATTCTCTAGATTACCACAAATCATCATAAGTAATTAAGAGGTCATAAGTAGGTATTAACGTTTAAAGGTTCTGCAAAAATCTTCCTAATTTGAAAAATGAAAAAATAACTAATCTTGTACACAATATGTATATGACCAGGTTTAGTCATCATAACTAATCAATAGCTAATACATTACTAACTTTAAAATGATGAATTAATCAATATTGTCACTTCAAATGTGAAGAAATCCCCATACACACACAAGAAGGGCAAATGAACTGCTATGTAATCACTGCAAAAAATCCGAACACCAAGAAAGTTGTAAGCAAAACTTGCATTATACCTACCTGATTAAGAATCTTCTGAGTAGCTTCCTCGGATAGACCATTTCTCGAGGTGGAGACATGGTCATGCTCAATTGGAGCTTGCTGTTGAGCTTGAACTCCATTGATCTCTTGATGATACTGAATTGGAACATAGTGAGGATGTGGGTGATAATGCACGGTCACATGGCTCCGAATTGGAACCCTAAATGGAGAATTGGGACCCGGATACACATGGGCCAACCAAGGGTGCGGAGAAGCTTGATGAGGAATCACGAGTCTGGGCTGAGTCGGTGAAGAGGATGATGAGCTGCGAGGGACGAACTCCGGTGCCGCAGTGTTGAGTCGACTGAAGCAGACGCTGCAGACGTTTCGGCAGAGATATGGATCTGAAGAGGATGTGGTTGAGGAAGAAGAAGATTGATGATATTCGTCGTCGTCTGCGATTTGGCCGTCGACAGAGAGACGAATCTAGGGTTTCGGATGGTGGGTCCAAATATAGTGGACAACCCATCTTGAGGTTTTGATCTAGGGTTTTTGAGGAAGAGGTAGAGATTATGATGAAGTGAGGGACGATGAGGCAGAGATGTATATATACTACGTATATATTTGTTCACAGGGTGTGTACCGAAATTATTTTATTATTATTATTTTTTGTCATATAAATTTACGTAGATGTAGTGATTTCTAGTATATGTAAATGGAAGTGTCCGTCGTTATAGAATGTTTAGCTTGTGAAGGATGGTTTTATTTATTAGAAGAATAAAATAAGCTATTTATATGAAGTACCAAGCTCATATCATTCAATGAATAATATTGTAAATATATTTAAAATAAATTGGTATTTTACTTTCTTTTGAATTAAAGAATTTTTTTTTTCTTAAGACAATTATTTTTGAAGTTTTCACGTGAAGTCTATAATAAAAGTATATATAGTTTTCAAAAAAAAAAGTTTTAAAAATACATAAAAAATAAACATACAAACTCTAATTAGACTCTTAAATAACCAATTTTCCTTAGAATAATTGCCCAAAATTTCAAATATCACAATTCCTGATTTAACCCAATGGTTTGACTTCTCTGTCATCAAATCGAATGGGAGGGATTAAAGTTTGAACAAACAAGTTTTTCCCTGAATGTTTATGAGAAAGAGAAATGGGACTATTAGCTTTCATTTGTTGAATGATGAAGTTTTAAGTTTTTTGAGATTATTCAAGGTTGAGAAAGTATAATATAATACATCCAAGTCTTGAACCTTCCTACTTAAAAGTAGGAATATGAGAAAAAAACTTCAATATCTCATTATGAACAACAAATTTTATCATTAATTTCCAATTTGGCCACATGAGGCCATGTAAAGCAGACTGCAAAAACGCTCACCAAGCTTCTAAGTAATTAACCTCCTAGTATATGTCGATGGCCAGGCTTACACCAATGAGCCATAAGGCCCAAGCTTGGTTTGTCTACGCATCTATTTGGCATAGAAAGAGGCGTGGGCAATTTTATGCGTTTTGCTTTCTTGAAATTTAAAAAAGAAAAGTATAAAAAAGAAAAAGAAAAAACGGAAGGTACTTTGGAAAGAACCCTTTAGCCCTTGCTTCATCATCCAATGCACCAAATATCACTACTCAGAGAAAATGTTATACTACACCATTGACTAGGTTGACAGCAGGATTGTCGAGCAATATTGTAAATATGACCCTTGTAAAAAAATTCAAAAACGAACTAGAAAACATAAGCCTACATGTATGTATACATGTGTAGAGTTAATGAGAAAAGCAGACAAGTCCTTGTCCCACAACAATTCATCCAAGTTATACAAAGAATTTTCTTAAACCAACAAAAGGTTGGCAAACCGTTCCAAGAATTCGTCACGTCATCACTTGAAAGTAAGAATACGAGAAGCAAGCTTCAATATCTCATCATCACCCTCGAACATAACTCAAGAGAGGTAGCAGCTCAAATTGGTGACCAAAGATCAAGTAGGAATAAAAAAAGGAACAGTGTCTTAGGACTAACCTACCGAATGCATTACATAAAAGAAATTCAAGAGTTCGTCAGCAAATTCAATCTCCTCGGACATCTGAATGTCCATACTCGAAAGTAGGAATACGAGAAGCAAGCTTCAATATCTCATAATCAACTTCAAAACAAATGCTGTCGGCATCAAATTGTTCCAAGTCTTGAACCTTCATACTTGAAAGTAGGAATATGAGCAGCAAGCTTCAATATCTCGTTATCAACTCTAAAACGAACGCCGTCCCTAACATCGAAATGCACAAGCTTTTTACAACCCCGTAAAATCATCACTAAGTTCTCCGGTGCAATGATTGCATTTCTTAATTCCAGATGCTTAATGCCTGGCAGCAAGGTCACAATCGCCAATGCTTCCGCTTTCGTAATGCATGCTAAAAAAATGGTCAACCCAACAAAGTTCTTGCAGTGAAGACTGATTTGGGCAAGTGTTTTTTCAATAAAACCTATGCCCCCAAATTTGATCACTTCCAAATCATGCCACTTGCATACGAGGGACATCAGAGCAGACGAGCAAGTACGGGAGTATGACCAAGATTTTAAGTAATTAGCGCGCGAGTCATTGCGCAGCTCCAAATATTTCAAGGCAGGACACCTGACAACAGAAAATTCACGTCCAAATAAATTCTCCGAATTTTGGTGTAATTTACAATTTTGCAATTCATTATATTATAAGATAATTAATTAACAAACGAGCACTTACCCTTGAGCTACATAAGTTATTGCTTCTTCTGAACAATTGTTAGAAAGCACTAGCGAAACAATACACCTATTACTTCGACTGACAACAAACTTAACCAGTTCGGTTTCATCAAGCTTTTTTAGTCGGTATTCATTGGATAATCTTGACATGATGGTGTCTGGTTCTTTAGGAATAACAAATGTTCGCCAACATAGAGGAGAACGAGTAGCTTTGTACCAAGACTTGCACACAAAGGGAACATCCAATAGAAAGGATTCCATTCCCACTTTCTCAAACACATTCGCCAGGCAATCCATGTTCAAATCTTCCCATTTACGTTGTTCCATCTATACCAATAAAAAACAACAGAAATAAATAAATAAGTTTCTAACTAACTAATTCAAAAAAAGTACTTTCTAAGCATGTATGCATATGTAAAATTGCACAATTGCATGTATAAATATTTGCACATATGCATTAGTAACTTACATAATAATTAGAGGACAAAAAATGAAAAAAAAATACCTAGCGCCTGTTTGGTTCTGTTTTTTAAAAGCAATACAAATCAGTTTAAGCAATTGTGCAGGCGAAGAAACGTGGGACGGTAATCAAAATTCCCTAAATGACCATCTTTCCATAATAAAGAAGTAGAATTTTATCTTCAGAGCAGTGAGAACTGACAAATTAGTACCCAAATATTATATAAATTAAAATTGAATTGTGAAAATATATATATATTGGCACCCAACCTCTCAGGTACGAAAACATTGTATGAATTAAAATTAAATTGTTAAAAAAATAAATAAACAAAGCCACACAACCCACTCTCATCTGACCCATTGCGTACTAGTGTGTGTACGTGTATATGTATGTATATATTTTATACATAGAATCAGCAATTGAAAAATTATGATTAATATACATACACAAACACGCTTAAAAACAAGAACACAACTACTAGAGTAAAAACAAACATGGATCATATTCAATACAAAAAGTGTCATTCGCATATAGATAACACTTCACTTGGGTATGTAAATACAGAATTAAAACAATTAAAAGCCATAAAAAAAAACTACTAAAACTTACTCTTTCAACTGGGTTTCGACGCAGATGAGGACTCCCGTGTAATCCAATTTTGATCACACACTCGCGCGCACACACGTATAGATGGTCGTTTACTTTATACATACCCTCTGTTTGGAACCAAATCCCATAAGGTTTTGGATTTGAAAAAGGAATTGGGATGTGATTGGAGTTGAAATAGGAAAATTTAATTTACATGTTTGGAACAAATTGAATTTGAGTGGAAAGAGTCCTTATTTTGTTTGGATGTAAGATGAGATTTAAAATAAAAATAATATTTAAGGTTGCAACTTGAAGGAGTTGGACGGGATGAAGGTAAAACTCGATCCCAATTCCAAACTAGAGATATAAAATATAAAATGTTTAATTTTAACTAACTCTAGACCTTCAATCCTATCTACTCAACTTGAGTTCAACTTATGTTTTTATTTTTAAACTATAATCTGCAACTCTAACTAAAATTTGAGTTAAAAAATTAGGTTAATTCGGGTTTTACCATATCACCAATCCATTACATAATAAAAGTTTAATTTGATCTTGAGTTAATTTCCGATTAAATTACACAAAAAGTTTTAAATTCTCCAATATGTCAAAGTCAGTTGAAAATAAAAAAAGTTCAACATAAGTGTGAATATTATATATATATATATATATATATATATATATATATATATATATATATTATTAGAATTTGAATTAAGGTTGGCTTGGGTTGCTAATAGGTCTAAGCCCAACTTTAATTAAGTTCGGGTTAAAAATTTTAAATCCAATCCCGATTCTAATTATAAATATAGTTACCAAGCTTGCAAAAAAAGTTGAATTGGGTTCGGGTTTACAAGCCCAATTTGCATCCCTGATATTATACCATCTTTGCTCTTGTTAAAATAATAATAATAATAAATATTTATTTTAAAAATAGGATTATATAGATATAAAATTGTAGGATGCAATAAATAAGAAAAAACAAAGTGCGAATTACCTGACTTTCCTTAAGGTTTGACTTTATGATGGTTCCCTTGAGGTTTTGCATGATGACTTTGACCACTCTTGACTCGAATTGGGGTCAAGTCTAAATACCGAAAAATTTCCTAAGTAATTTTATTTTAAGTAAGCACTAGAGAAACAATACACCAATCACCGCAGTTGACAACAAATTTAATCAATTCGCTGAGATCAAGCTTTTTAAGTCGGTATTCATTGATTAATCTTGATAATAAGGCGTCTGATTCTTTAGACTTAGTCGGTATTCATTTATTAATCTTGATATCAAGTTTCTGATACTTTAGAAAAGATAAGGGTCCGTCAACATCAGTGACGGATTTACTTAGGTTCAATGGGGGCCACTAAAATTTGTTGTTATTATATTTTATATTTATAAATTTGTAGTTTTTGTATTTATATTAATAAAATTTTGAAATTGTCTCCAAAAAAAAAAAAAAAAAAAAAAAAAAAAAAAAAAAAAAATCCTATACATAAATTTACCTCTCTCATATAAATTTCTAAATCCATCCATGTGAATATATTTCCAACGCATTCACCAAGCAATCCTTGTCCAAATCTTCCCATTTAATCTCTTCCATCAATACCAATAAAAAACACTACAAAAAATAAAAAATTACCAACATTCTATCTAGCTAACTTTACAAAAATTCTTTTTTTTTTTTTTTTTTTTCTTAACCGGCTAAATCGAAAAGGGGCTTTCTAATCATGTATGCTTATGTCTAATATGTCTAATTGAATAATTACTAACAGGTTAGTGACCTAACGTTATCAGCCTCTTGCCTCTCAAAGGGAAGTCATAGGCTCAAATCTCAGTAGAGATATGTGTATGTGAGAATCAAATATGAAAATAAATAAATAAATAATAATAATCTAATTGCACAATTGCATATGCAATATTTGTAAATATGCATTAGTAATTTGCACGGTAATCAGAGGACAAATGCGTAAAAAAACTAGGGACCGTTTGGTGCAATTTTTTTTAAAGTAATAGTTTATAAAATAGTATTCATTTTCTGAAAAAAAAAAAAAAAATACAAATATAAAAGAGTAGAAGCCAATACAGAGCATCTGGGGGGTTTTGAATTAGAAAATGTCACATTCTATATATTTTTATCACCACATGCATAGTAGGTAAAAACAGAATAAGAGATTACGAAAAGCCTTTACAAACCAGGTTACGCAATTGTATGGTATTGTATCAAATATATATACAAGAATATAAATAATTGGGCAAGGAAAGAACCCTAGGAGATCATCTTTAATTTATGCATACGTGTATATGTATCCATACGTAAACAGGTATAAAAAAAGAACGCACCGATAAAGTAAAAATAAACATGGAACATATTCAAAACAAAAAGTAAAAACAAACATGGAACATATTCAAAACAAAAAGTGGGTCATTCGTGAACGAAACTGAAAATTCTCACATTCTCTAAAGCAGTAAATTTGACAATTAAAAACAATACAAAACTACTTAAACGTACTCTTTCAATTGGATTACAAAACCTGTAATTGGATTTCATATATGGATAGATAGTTGTTAGATATACATATGCTCTGTTTGGAAGCAAATTGTTTTGGGATTGGGATTTGAAAAAGGAATAGGAATAGGAATAGGAATAGGAATGTGATTGGAATTGAAATAGCAAATTGGATTTGAAAGAAAAGAATTCCTTTTTTAGTTGGAATGTAATAACATTGAATTTTGAATGAAAATTAATATTATACCATCTTTACCCTTATTGCACTCCAGTTGCTTATTTCATCATGAACTCATTAATCCTTCCTAGTTCCTCCATTATTTTATAATGCTATAACTATCCATTACGCTATAAACTTAACTTTTTTTTTTTTTTTTTTCACATTTTTACTTCTTTAAATACCCTTTTTTTTTTTTTTTTTTTTTTTTTTCTCTCCTAATTTCATATAGTACCTTTTAGGTTTTGAGTATTTTTTTTCTGTCCAAAAAGATAATTTATTCAATTGATGTATATATATATATATATATATATATATATATATAATATTCAAAAAAAAATTAAAAATAATAATAATCATATTCTTGTGAAGTTTAGACTATGTATTAATTTTCTTTTAAGATGGAAGTGAGAATGTAAGCAGAATTTTTTTTATATATTCCTATTTTCAGAGTTACAAACAAAATATATCATTAACTACTGCACTAACCCACCACAGCCCAACCCTTACCAACCGTCCAACCCTTGCCAATAATAGTCCTTTAAGTGATAAAAGGTTATAAGACCAATATTCTTTTACAACATTTTCAATTTCTCCAATTTCTTTTCCATAAAATCAGATAGCATTCCCAACCCCATTCTTAGCTCTTAAAAATAGTCATCTTAATATTAGGATGCATTATCATCAATAACTACACATCCCATCTTTATATAAACATTTTATTCCTAGTAGACGGTGGGGATACATTATAATTAGGGATTTTTACATATAAATGGAGTTATGGAGCCATATTTACTCATAGATGGAGTCAAAATCTTATATTTTCATAAAAATGAATTTGACCTAAATGATGACATGGCACATGAAGTTTTACTGTTTAAAATTTTTGTTATCTAAAATGTCATTCTCCTTATTCCAATGCATTTACCTTATCACCCTTGTTCAGAAAATATGGTACTTGGAGGCCAAAAAGTGGTACATTCAGTTCAAAAATGTGGTACCTTTAGAACAAAAGTGGTACCTTCGTAAAAGGGAATTGTTTTTGCAATTGAAAATGACATTGAACCCCACACCGCTAATTAAGTTGCACATTACATCCATAAACAGCTCCATTAGTGCCATGAATAACACAAATTATTCTTCAAGCTAGCTAAACGAGTGTTTAGAAAATATGGTACCTGAAGGCCAAAAAGTAGTATCTTTAATTCAAAAACGTGGTACATTTAGAACAAAAGTGATACCTTCGTAAAAGGGACTTATTTTTGCAATTGAAAATGGTATTAAACCCCACACCGTTAATTAAGTTGCACATTAGATCCATAAACTACTGTTGAAAAATTTATAAACCTTCTTATTAAATATAAGAGCCTAACATGCATGTATTTATTAAATAGAACAACCAAAATCCATTACTTTTCATTAAATCAAAACCATCAAGTGAAGTACCATATCTATAAAATACTTTAAGTCATCACGAATGTCAAAAAAGTTATAATCCATCCAATCTAATAAAGTCAACAAAAAATAAAAAACTAAATCACTAAATTTAAAGAAAGTAATCATTTTTTGCAAAATAAGAACACAATTATTAAGTTTGAACATTTATTAGCCCCTACTCGTCCATACAAAGTCTTGATTGCAATATTAGCCCCCACTCATCCATACAAAGTCTTGATGGCAAGAATCGATCCTCCAATCACACTGTCAAAAAAAAAAAAAAAAAAAAGGTTACTACATTTAATTGTATCACATTAACGAAAAAATTAACCAACCTTAAAGAAGTAAGCGAAACGGAAAAAGTGAAGGAGAGGAACTGAAAACGTGGACAAATTTTCAAACTCTTAAACAAAATGAAAAAATATAATTAAATGCATAAGATGAGGCATTCCAGAATTTCTAAACTGGGATATTCCAAAATTTCAATAACACATCAGTATAATTATAATTGTATGCAAAGAAAAATATAATTCTAGACTGGGGTATTCTAGAATCTCAATAACACGTTAATCTCTTTAAGTTATAATGTATAAGATGTCTAATCATTATATTCTTATCATACAATTAATATATATATATATATATATATATATATATATATATATATATATATTAATTAGGACCCAGATATATATCAAAATTCTAAATGGTCTTCATGTATAAGAGGTCTAGAGACCAAATTGTCTCCTTATTATCATTGAAAAATTCTAAAGATTTAATTATGACCCAGATCCATATCAAACATGATCTTTGGATACCATAATTTTTTTAACAATTGCATTATTGAAATAGTTATTCAAAAGTCCTAAACAGCCTTGCCGATTAAAATGGTGCGAAAAAAAAAAATCTACCATACCAACTATTTAGATGTAGTATATGATAATTAAGAAATATTTGTGTTATTTATGGCGCTAATGAAGCTGTTTATGGATCTAATGTGCAACTTAATTAGCGGTGTGGGGTTTAATACCATTTTCAATTGCAAAAATAAGTTCCTTTTACGAAGATACCACTTTTGTTCTAAAGGTACCACATTTTTGAACTGAATGTACCACTTTTTGGCCTCCAGGTACCATGTTTTCTAAATACTCGCTTAACTAGCTTGGAGAATATTTTGTGTTATTCATGGAGCTAATGGAGCTGTTTATGGATATAATGTGCAACTTAATTAGCGGTGTGGGGTTTAATGCCATTTTCAATTGTAAAAATAAGTCCCTTTTACGAAGGTACCACTTTTGTTCTAAAGGTACCACATTTTTTAACTGAAGGTACCATTTTTTGGCTTCCAGATACCATGTTTTCTAAACAAGGGTAATAAGGTAAATGCATTGGAATAGGAAGAAGGGCATTTTAAGCAACAAAAATTTTAAACAGTAAAACTTCATGTGCCATGTCATCATTTAGGTCAAACTCATTTTTGTAAAAATATAAGACTTTGATTTCATACATGAGTAAATAAACCTCCCTAACTCCATTTATATATAAAAATCGCTTATAATTAATAGCTACGATTCACTGTCTAGGATTATGCTGTAAAATATGTTAGATATTTACAACTGTACATCACACCCTACTTTTGAATACCCTCTATCAAATATTTATTAGGACAACTTTTTAGAATTCTCCGACACCACATAATTCTAGACACCTTAGAGTCCACTTTTCACTTATGCCAAGTAAACGACATCCAAGGTGTGACCACATTGCCCAAGTGGTAAATGCCAGTCTTCAAGTGCGCCGCCATATGTTCCTAAGTTCGAATTACACCCCCTCAAAGGCCCTAATCCCTACTAACTCCTCACTCTCTAAGTATTGCCAGATAATATATATATATATATATATATATATGTGTGAAGTGCTAAAATCGCGACTGCCCTTCCATAATCGACCTTTCTAAATTACAATTCTTATAATTACACGTTCATTTATAAAATGTCCTTTAACTTTATAAAAATTAAAAATATAAAATTTTAAGACAAAATTACCCTTTAATCTTTTCTTATTTCTTCCTTTTTATTCTCCTCTCCTCAGTTTTATCTAGTATATATATATACAAACTGTCACATGCACATATATACATAGTATATATATATATATATAACATTCTAGATTGCCAAAAAAAAAAAGAGAATATATTATTTTCTTTGTTTTTGAATTTGTCAAAACGAGTAACATTATGAGAATTGATTACTTTATTTCTTTTTTTTCTTTTAATTATATTTTAACTCTATATATACATTCTCTAAAATGACATAAAAAAAAAACTTAATCGTATATATATAATGATATATATATATGTGTGTGTGTGTGTGTGTATAATATATACATACATACATGTAGTGATGTACATTGATTAAGTGAGGAGACATAAAAATAAAAATAAAAAATTTATACATATATGAAGTTAGTTATATATATATACATGTACATCAATTAAGTGAGGAGAAGAAAAATATATATAGAAAAAAAATATATGAATAGGAATTGAACGTAAATCCATATATAGAAAAGAAAGAAATAATATATTTGCATTTTTTTTTTTTTTTTTTTTTTTTTTTTTGTGGCAATCTAGAATGTTATTAATATAAGGAATAAAACTGATGACAGGGAAATAGTAGGAGAGAAATAAGAAGAGGTTAAAGAACAATTTTGTTTTAAAAATTTATATTTTTAATTTCCGTAAAGAGAAGGAACATATCCTTTATGAAAAAAGCACAATCTACAATCTTTCATCAATGTCATAGAAATACTTTTGGAGTCTTGCATATATCTTTGGCATCAAGATCACAGTAGTCGATGCTTTATCTTTCACAGTGAAGGACGAGTTGGATAAGAATTTCTTGAATGATTATTATCCTCAGACCAAATTGGTGACCAAAGAATCAAATAGGAATAAAAAAAAGGAACAGTCTTAGGACTAACCTACCGAATGCATTACATAAAAGAAATTCAAGAGTTCGTCAGCAAATTCAAGCTCCTCGGACATCTGAATGTCCATACTCGAAAGTAGGAATACGAGAAGCAAGCTTCAATATCTCATAATCAACTTTAAAACAAACGCTGTCGGCATCAAATTGATCCAAGTCTTGAACCTTCATACTTGAAAGTAGGAATATGAGCAGCAAGCTTCAATATCTCGTTGTCAACTCTAAAACGAACGCCGTCCCTAACATCGAAATGCACAAGCTTTTTACAACCCCGTAAAATCATCACTAAGTTCTCCGGTGCGATGATTGCATTTCTTAATTCCAGATGCTTAATGCCTGGCAGCAAGGTCACAATAGCCAATGCTTCCTCTTTCGTAATGCATGCTAAAAAAATGGTCAACCCAACAAAGTTCTTGCAGTGAAGACTGATTTGGGTGAGTGTTTTTTCAATAAAACCTATGCCCCCAAATTTGATCACTTCCAAATCATGCCACTTGCATACGAGGGACATCAGAGCAGACGAGCAAGTACGGGAGTATGACCAAGATTTTAAGTAATTAGCGCGCGAGTCGTTGCGCAGCTCCAAATATTTCAAGGCAGGACACCTGACAACAGAAAATTCACGTCCAAATAAATTCTCCGAATTTTGGTGTAATTTACAATTTTGAAGTTCATTATATTATAAGATAATTAATTAACAAACGAGCACTTACCCTTGAGCTACATAAGTTATTGCTTCTTCTGAACAATTGTTAGAAAGCACTAGCGAAACAATACACCTATTACTACGACTGACAACAAACTTAATCAGTTCGGTTTCATCAAGCTTTTTTAGTCGGTATTCATTGGATAATCTTGACATGATGGTGTTTGATTCTTTAGGAATAACAAATGTCCGCCAACATAGAGGAGAACGAGTAGCTTTGTACCAAGACTTGCACACAAAAGGAACATCCAATAGAAAGGATTCCATTCCCACTCTTTGAAACACATTCGCCAAGCAATCCATGTTCAAATCTTCCCATTTACGTTGTTCCATCTATACCAATAGAAAACACAAATCAGCAATAATTTTTATACACTGCAGAAAAAATATATATATTTGTACATATGCATTTGTAACTTAAGAGGACAAATGCAAAAATACATTAAAAAAAACACACTAGGGACTGTTTGGTTTTGTTTTCTAAAAGCAATACAAACCAGTTTAAGCAATTGTATGTTATTGTATCAAATATAGAAGAAAAGAAATAACTGTGCAGGCGAAGAAACGTGGGAAGTAATCAAAATTCCCTAAATGACCATCTTTTCATAATAAAGAACTAGAATTTTATCTTCAGAGCAGTGACATTAAGATGAACAAAGAGAACTGAAAAATTAGTACCCAAATATTATATAAATTAAAATTGAATTGTGACCTCTGAGGTACGAAAACATTGTATGAATTAAAATTGAATTGTTAAAAAATAAATAAACAAAGCCACACAACCCCTTCTCATTTGACCCATTGCATACTAATGTGTGTACATGTATAAGTATGTATATATTATATACATAGAATCAGCAATTGAAAAATTATGATTAATATACATACACAAATACGCTTGAAAACAAGAACACAACTCCTGGAGTAAAAACAAACGTGGAACATATTCAATACAAAAAATGTCATTCGCGCGCATATAGACAGCACTTCACTTGGGTATGTAAATACAGAATTAAAACAATTAAAAGCCATAAAAAAAACTACTAAAACTTACTCTTTCAACTGGGTTTCGACGCAGATGAGGACTCTCGTGTAATCCAATTTTGATCACACACTCGCGCGCACACACGTATAGATGGTTTCCTTTATACATACCCTCTGTTTGGAACCAAATCCCATAAGGTTTTGGATTTGAAAAAGGAGTTGGGATGTGATTGGAATTGAAATAGGAAAATTTAATTTACATGTTTCGAACGAATTGAATTTGAATGGAAAGAGTCCTTATTTTGTTTGGATGTAAGATGAGATTTAAAATAAAAATAATATTTATGGCTGCAGCTTGAAGGAGTTGGACGGGATGAAGGTAAAACTCTATCCCAATTCCAAACTAGAGATACAAAATATAAAATGTTTAATTTTAACTAACCCTAGACCTTCAATCCTATCTGCTCAAACTTGAGTTCAACCTATGTTTTTATTTTTAAACTATAATCTGCAACTCTAACTAAAATTTGAGTTAAAAAATTAGGTTAATTCGGGTATTACCATATCACCAATCCATTACATAATAAAAGTTTAATTTGATCTTGAGTTAATTTCGGATTAAATTACACAAAAAGTTTTAAATTCTCCAATATGTCAAAGTCAGTTGAAAATAAAAAGTTCAACATAAGTGTGAATATTATATATATATACATATATATAATATTAGAATTTGGAGCAAGGCTGGCTTGGGTTGCTAGTAGGTCTAAGCCCAACTTTAATCAAGATCGGGTTGAAATTTTTAAATCCAATCCTGATTCTAATTATAAAAATAGTTACCAAGCTTGCAAAAAGAGTTGAATTGGGTTCGGGGTTACAAGCCCAATTTGCATCCCTCATATTATACCATCTTTGCTCTTATTAAAATAATAAAAATAAAAATAAAAATAATTATTTTAAAAATAGGATTATATAGATATAAAATTGTAGGATGCAATAAATAGGAAAAACAAAGAGCGAATTACCTGACTTTCCTCAAGGTTTGACTTTATTATGGTTTCTTGAGGTTTTGCATGATGACTTTGACCACTCTTGACTCGAATTGGGGTCAAGTTTTTCCTAAGTAATTTTATTTTAAGTAAGCACTAGAGAAACAATACACCAATCACCACAGTTGACAACAAATTTAATCAATTCGCTGAGATCAAGCTTTTTAAGTCGGTATTTATTTGATTAATCTTGATAATAAGGTGTCTGATTCTTTAGACTTAGTTGGTATTCATTGATTAATCTTGATATCAAGCTTACGATACTTTAGAAAAGATAAGGGTCGGCCAACATCAGTGACGGATTTACTGTAGGCTCAGCGGGGGTCACTAAATTTTTTTATTATTATATTTTATATCTCTAAATTTGTAATTCTCATATTTATATTAATAAAATTTTGAAATTGCCTCCACTGAAAAAAAAAAAAAAAAAAAAAAAAAAAACTATATATAAATTTATCTCCCTCATGTAAATTTCTAAATCCGTACCAGCCAATATATTTCAAACGCATCCACCAAGTCATCCATGTCCAAATCTTCCCATTTAATCTCTTCCATCAATACCAAAATAAAAAATAAAAATAAAAAAATTGGCAAAAAAAGAATTTTGGTAAAGTTAGCTAGATAAAATGTTGGTAAATTTTTTTTTTTTTTTTTTTTTTTTTTTTTTTTTTTTTTTTAACCGGCTAAATCGAAAAGGGACTTTCTAATCATGTATGCCTATGTCTAATATGTCTAATTGAACAATTACTAACGGGTTAGTAGCCTAACGGTATCAACGTCTTACCTGTTAAAGGGAGATTATGGGTTCAAATCACTGTAAAGATATGTGTATATGAATACCAAATATGAAAAAAATAAAATAAAATCTAATTGCACAATTGCATATATAAATATTTGTACATATGCACTAGTAATTTGCACGGTAATCAGAGGACAAATGCATAAAAAACTAGGGACTGTTTGGTACAATTTTTTTAAAGTAATAGTTTATAAAATAGTATTCATTTTCTGGAAAAAAAAAAAAAAAAAAAAACAAAACAAACCAGAAGCAAAAACAAACATGGAACATATTCAAAACAAAAAGTGGGTCACTCGTGAACGAAACTGAAAAGTCTCACATTCTCTAAAGCAGTAAATTTGACAATTAAAAACAATACAAAACTACTTAAACGTACTCTTTCAATTGGATTTCAAAACCTGTAATTGGATTTCATACATGGATTGATAGTTGTTAGATATACATATGCTCTGTTTGGAAGCAAATCGTTTTGGGATTGGGATTTGGAAAAGGAATAGGAATAGGAATATGAATGTGATTGGAATTGAAATTGAAATAGCAAATTGGATTTGAAAGAAAAGAATTCCCTTTTTAGTTGGGATGTAATAACATTGAATTTTGAATGAAAATTAATATTATACCATCTTTACCCTTATTGCACTCCAGTTGCTTATTTTATCATGAACTCATTAATGCTTCCTCCATTATTTTATAATACTATAACTATCCATTACGCTATAAACTTAACTTTTTTTCTTCTTTTTTTTTTCACATGCTTTACTTCTTTAAATACCTTTTTTTTTTTTTTTTTTTTCCCTCCTAATTTCATTTAGTACTATATTTTTGCTGTCCAAAAAGATAATTTATTCAATTCATATATATATATATATATATATATATATATATATATATATATATATTATTCAAAAAAAATTAAAAAATAATAATAATCATTAAGATGGAAGTGAAAATGTAAGCAGAATTTTTTATATATATTTCTGTTTTCAAAGTTACAAACAAAACATACTCTTAAATACTGCACTAATCCACCCAAATACTGCACTAATCCACCCGATGACTCTACTCTAAGCACTGTATTTCTTTTACAACATTTTTAATTTCTCCAATTTATTTTCCATAAAATCAGATAGCATTCCCACCCCTATTCTTAGCTCTTAAATATGGTCATCTTAATATTAGGATGCATTATCATCAATAACTACACATCCCATCTTTATATAAACATTTTATTCCTAGTAGACTGTGGGAATACATTATAATTAATAGCTACGATTCACTGTCTAGAATTATGCTCTAAAGTATGTCAGATATTTACAACTGTACATCGCCCCCTACTTTTGAATACCCTCTATCAAATTTATTAGGACAACTTTTAGAATTCTCCAACACCACACAATTCTAGACTCCTTAGAATTCACTTGTCACTTCTGCCAAATAAACGTCCCCCACCCAATGCCCTAGTCCCTAACAGGACCGTTAACCTGTTTGTTGGTGTGCAAGAAATTTATACACGAATTAAATCTTAACCGTTGAATATAAAAGAATAAATTACCTTTTTAATTGTCCAATATAATCTAACGGTTAATACTTGATGTGTGCATACATATTTTTACACACTAAGGAGCAAGTGAACAATTCTATATATATATATATATATATGAGAAGTACTAATTGCAGACTGCCCTTCTACAATCGCGCTTCCTTAAGATGTTCCCTGCCTGTATGGAAATTAAAAAATATAAAATTTTAAGACAAAATTGTCCTTTAACCTTTTTTTATTTCTCCCATTTTATTCCTCTCTCCTCAGTTTTATGTGATATACATATATACAAACCGTCACATGCACATATATATGTAATGTGTGTATATATATATATATAACATTCTAGATTGCCAAAAAAAGAGAGGGAATATATTATTTCTTTCTTTTTGGATTTACCAAAATGAGTAACATTATGAGAATTGATTATTTTATTTCTTTTTTTTTTAAAATTATATTTTAACTCTATATATATGTTCTCTAAAATGACATAAAAAAAACTTATACGTATATATATAGTGATATATATATATATATATATATATATATAATATATAATATATATACATACAACATGTAGTGATGATGGACATTGATTAAGTGAGGAGAGATAAAAATAAAAATAAAAAACTTATACATATATGAAGTTAGTTATTTACATAATATATATATATATATATATATATATTACATACTATATATTTACATGTACATCAATTAAGTGAGGAGAGAAAAGATATATATGTGAATTCATATATAGAGCATATTTATATTTATATTTATATATAGTTA